CCAGGTTTGGAGGTCAAACGTCACATGATTTGCTGTGAAAGACACTTTCAATTAGCTATCATAGGTCATACAGTTTGAAGGGGGGAAACCAAAGTAACATTTAAGAGGTCTATTAACTTACAGTGGCCCCATGGGCCCCAAACCGAGCACCTGCATAATTAGGCTGCGAGGTGACTGAGAGTGCTGACTTTGGAGGTCAAAGTTCACACAATTGGCTTTTTAAAACAATTTCAATAAGCCACTGTAGGCCATACTCTATAAAAGGGGAAGGCCCACGTAACATTTAATAGGCCTATTATCCAGCCATTGATCCTAGGGACCCCAAGCCAGGCATGTACAATCCAGGCCATGAGGCAACTGAGTGTGCCAAATTTGGAAGTCACACAATTGGCTTTAAAACATAGTTTCAGTTTGCTATACTAGGCCGTATACTTTGAAAAAGAAAGGCACAAATAATATTTAGGAGGTCTATCAAACAATAGAATCTCATGCACACAATAGGCTGTCAGGTGAACGAGCGTGCCAAGTTTTGGGGTCAAACGTTGCACAATTGGCTTTTTAAGACTCTTTCAATAAGCCTTTGTAGGCCATACACTTTGAAAAGTGAAGGCCTTAGTAATATTTAAGAAGCCTACTAACCAAGCTGGGTGCTGGGTGAGTGTGCTAAGTTCTTGTGTCAAAGGTCACACAATTTACTGTAAAAGACACTTTCAATTAGCTATCGTAGGCCATTCACTTTGACTGGGGAAGTAATATTTAAGAGGCCTGTAAAACAACTGTGCCCCTATGGGCTCCTAACCAGGCACCCACATAATTAGACTGCGAGATGACTGAGTGTATATTAAATATTGATGTGATATTAAAACACACACATATACACTGCAACCTCTACTACACACACCTAAACAACTCTACCCCACACACCCCAACTAGAGTCCCACAACAGTTTTTTTAATGGCCTATTCAGAGACATTATACACTGGCTGGTGAAGAAAGTGTGGGGAGAGGTGTATTGTGACGACTCTCTTGCACCCCTAGAGGCAGTAATTGTCAAAGTACATGGTAACGATCTTAGATTCCAAGTTTGTAACAAAATTACTCCAAAACAATGATTGTAAAATCCAACACTGTGTGTCCCTCAGATCTAAAATATTGATCTAATATTCTAATATTGTGATCATATTTATAGATCCAAAACTGTAATTTGAGCTCTTTAACACCTCCTAGTGAAATGCCCCAAATTCCAAGTTAGATGACGTTTGAAGGTTACATCTGCTTTAGTTCATTTTACTAGGACTTGATGAATGAAGAATGGAATTCTTCCAAGTTCCTTATTTTGGGCCATTGTAAGAATTTCACAAAAGTGACTACAGTTACAAACTCTCACACACACCTAACAGGCCCTTCCACACACCCTCACACACACCTAGCCAGCCATTCCACACACACCCTCACACACACCTAACCAGCTCTATAACACACACCCTTACACACACCTAGCCAGCCCTTCCACACACACCCTCACACACACCTAACCAGCTCTATAACACACACACTTACACACACCACCAGCTTTACCGCACATCCTATCGCACACTGCTACCACTTACACACACACCTAAACAACTACCCACAGACCTTCACACACCTAATTAGCTTTTCCACACACACCCTCACATACACCTAACATTCTCTAACTCATACACACACAACCAGCTCTACCACAAACACCCTCACACACACCACCAGCTTTACCACACACATTACCAGACACGCTAAACCACATCACTATATCACATCTCCTGTCAACTCACTGTGCAATATATCATAACCTGCTGCTGTAATGACACTTTCACTATGCACTTTACATTGTCATATCGCTGCAACTCCTAGTTATGTCTATACTCATTGTGCTTTTAGACTACCTCATACCACCCAGTGCCTGCTATCCTGTCAATACAACAGATCTCTCTCATATGCTATGTAAATATGCAAATAGATATACTTTATTTCTACTGTTATACTTAACTTATGTCTATTTTTATTTCTATTTTTTATTTTCTGCAGGGTATATGTAAGTTTATGTGAAATAATATGTCTTGCTACTGAAACACTGCAATTTCCCTTCAGGATCAATAAAGTTCTATTCACACACACACCCATACACATACTGCTACCTCTACTACACACATGAACACCTCTACCACACACCTCACTCACATCATTTCAGGGTTAGGATTTACAAAGAAATACAAATTAATCAGTCATAAAAGTCCAAAAAAAACCAAACTGACTCAAATAAATGTATGAATACTTTATTGGAGGGAGATGTTTTGTCTTCAGTTATTTTGTTATAGAACGCAAACTATAAAATAAGCACAATTACAAAAGATAATATCAGAATACTCTGCAATAAAATAAAAGCAATACTGTCATGTGTGAAACAGAGAAAATGTGAGGTGGTGTGACAGGTGGTGGTGGAGACGTTTATCAGGGTGGA